CTCTCTCTCTCTCTCTCTCTCTCTCACACACACATCTCTGGAGGCTGGGCCTTCTGAAAAGTGTTTCCTTGGGGTATCTGTGACAACCCCTTCCCTTAGTCACAATTCTCGAAGTTTGCTAGCTCAGTGAGCTAGTCCACTCACCACGTTTATGAGTGCAGAACCACCCACCTTTCGCCATTTCACCCTAGGAAACTCCCTCTGCCATCTTCCCCATCCCTTGAAAGTCCCTTCTGCAATCTGCCCTCAGTCCTTTGTGCTGCAGTTTGTCCAGAGGGGACGCAAAGGTGGGGTCAGGGATGGGGATCATTGAAAAAAACCCATCCCCTCTTTTCCCCTCTCTCCCTGTGAGCCAATCAGATCTCAGAGACTCTGAGTGGCCTCCTTGCACCCTGCTCTCCGGCACCCAGTAGGTGCTTAGTAAGTGTTTGCTGCATTGAATTATCTCCCTCCAGCTTCCAACACCTCCCCGCTAGCATTTCTCTTTCTCTTTCTTTCTCTGGCTCCCTGTGGCTGCCATTGTCACCTGTCTTGTCTCTATCTCTTTCTGTGTCTGTCTTTCCCTCTCTTCAACTCTCTCAACAGCCCCCACCCCCATTTCCCTACTGATTAAAAAAAAAAAAAGTGCCAAATTTCCTTGGAACTGAGCCGCTCTGGGGGGGAGGGAACCTCAGATAAGGGGAAGGAGACGGGATCATCTCTCTTCGAGGGGGCCCCTAAGAGGTATTGAAAAAGTCTGAGGACACTTAGCTAAATTGGGTCCCCATTCCTCACCTCTCCCACCCTGCTTTTTCTTAGACTCTTTGTAAGAAAAAAAAAAAAAAGATAAATAAAAAACTCCCTTTCAGCTAACCCCCTAACTTTTTGGATCCCCCAAATTCCACCAGCCGGGGAGAACCCCACTTGCCTCCTTCTGGCAAATCTGTAGAAATTTGGCAGGGGAAGAGACAAGCTCAGCCCCTCTTTTGCTTGCCCAAGAGATAGTGCCAGCTGGATTCGAGAGGACCGTAAGCACTTATGAGAAGAAGGGGTTCAATGTGCCAAATTCACCTCCTTCATCCCCCATCTGGGGGGGGCTCTGAGCCAACCTGCCCCAGCCACCTTCTTCTGCCCTGCCCCAACCATCTCTACATGGGCAAAGGGGCTTCACTGCAATAATTATTAGGGATGAGAAGACGGAGATTGTGCCATCTTTATCTGCCCTTAATGCCTGCCCTGGACTTGTAGGTGGGAGTTACATGTATCCCAAATGGAATTTGTTACAGATGTTCGGGGACCTATATGTGGAACAATATGGTACCACTTTTCTGAGTGGTATTTCTTCTCCCCTTCCTCACCCCCAAACCTCTCAATATCCCCTCGATCTGTTTCCCCTGCCTAGTCCTCCATCCCAGACCCTCCTTGTTTTGTTTCTGATCGGTGGTCTGCCGTTGGGGAAGCGGCAGGGTTCCCCGGCGTCGATTATTGCTGTTTCGAGACCAGGATTGGAGGTCGCGCGAGGCCGAGCGGTGGAAAAGGCGTTAACCAGAAGTGATGAGGATGGCAGTTTGGGTGTCCAGGCGGCTGATTGGGTGCACACCTATCGGGACAGCCAGGCAGGCCTCTGCTCTTCGCCAGGCACCTGCCCCAGCCACCCAAATCCCGAGGCCGGCTGTCGCGAGAGCCTGCACTGGATGTCACGATGGGGGAGCACGGGATCGCGACGCCCAGGTCTGGGCACTGCGGGCCGGGACACTGGCCGGTGGCTCTCACGGAGTCGCAACGCCCAGCCCTGCGGCCGCAATCCCTGTCCACCGCGGCCAGCCGTCTGGACATGCTGCGGTGGGCGGGGCTGCTCTCTGGGGTGCAGCCGCTGTTGCGTGTAAGGTCCGACTCCGTGTCGTCCCACAGTCGCGTTGGGGATCGCCGGGTGGCAGGGAGGAAGATGGGGAAAGCCGCCGTGCGGGTGGGGGTGGTAAAGGCTGCCGGTTTTTAATTCCTTCTCAGCCAGTCCAGGATACTCTTGTCTCCCAGAGATAACTGGGGGGGACCACCTAACCCCCCCTCCCCTCCC